GGTGTAGACGAATGCTGCTGCCGGGTGCGGTATACCTGGAGTGTGGTTTCGCTAAGATATCGCGGTTATGGCACTTTCGGCCGTTGTCCTGATGGGAATAGCTTCCGATCAAAAACCGGCGTAAGGCCCGGTGGCCGACTGGGTTTGATTTTCATGTCCAATTGTCTCAGCAACACGTCTCGAGGGCATCAGCGAACAATGAGGCCAAGAGTGCACAATGTCTGAGGGTGCGGCAACACACAATCCAACGCGCAAGTTTGCCTACGTAAGTTGACGCGTTGGCGTGTTTCGTTTGAGCGACGACGACGAGTAGGGGAGATTAAACGGAGTCTTGTGTAGATGGAGGTCTCTACTCCCCCATCGGCAACGAGTCTAGCGGGGATGAGGGATCATGGGGAGGTTAGGGAAGCGGACTATGGCTGGGATCATGGGTTGAGGATTTTTTGGGTGATGCTCGGTTCGATGGCCTGCTGTGGTTACGCTCATCGACGGGATGTGGAGCCCACGATGTTGGAGGAGGGGCGGATGTTGGCGTGTAAGAGTGATACCGGGGGTGTGGAACGTGGATTCGTCTTTTGGCGAGAAGAAAAAAGGGGGATACGTTTGAGAGTTATTAATGTCTTGAAGACTTTCTTTGGGTCAACGGTCGACGATGTGGGTTTTCGGAGCATTTTTTTGATGACGGTTGGGATTGGACTTGGGGGCTTTGATTGATGAAATGTGGCTAATGGAATAAGAATATCGACGGACGTTTAGGTTTGATGAGAAGATCAGAGGGTGTTCATGTAGGCTGGATGGGGGTCAATGGGTCATTGAGTTTTGGGATAGTTGGGGTTTATCAAAAAAGACCAGGCTAGTTCGTCCCTGAAACTGTTGGTTTGGATATTGCAAAAAGAAGGGTCATGTTTGCTTTTTGGATCGGATGGCAGAAGTTTGTCCTCGGAGTATTTTTACTTTCTTCTCTTAGTAAGGGGGCGGAAGGCGAAAAAGAAAGATCCTAGACCTGGTCTAGACCTCGAGCAGCAGAGTTGGATCCTTGCGGGAGTTGTGAGATGAAAACGAGAGGGATGACTCGGATGGACTGATGATGTGCTGACTCGAATGGGATCTTTTGTTCATGTTGCAATAGCCGGACTGGTATGGTGAAGGTTTGTCGATTTTTGGACTTTGCTTTTTGGGGAACTCGACGCGAAGTATGTGAAAGGTGACGGATCGAGCGGTGCCGATCGAGAGACATTGTTTGCTCGTCGATACAGACACTCCGTCGGAATAAACCAGCTCAAGGTGGGATTAGAGAGTTTCATGGTGGACTTCACGTCATGGTGGAACTCTGACTTGTCTGCGATGAATTGAGTCGAGCTGCGTTAGTGTAAGACAGTCTGGAAAGAAGACATGCTTGCATACTCATGTGTGATATTGATGGCTTGGAAGCAGTCGGTGCCTGGATTGCCTTATGGAACGAGGTAGATGGAGAAGACAACAGGAGAGCTTCGATGTCCGATTTCCTGGCTTGCCCAGAGTCAACCTGTGTATGGATTGCTCGACTTGTTGCTGGTTCTTTCAAAGCTGTAGTATCTAGATGTTAATCATGAAGTCTCTGAAGAGATGCCCCTGTCACATTTAATACGCGTTGCTGCGGCTCTTTGTGTCACGGGTGCTGAGTTCGAGCATGTCCCATATCGAACAACCTGGAGCACTTCTGTAGACTTTCCCTTGTAGATATGGCCCAACTTGAATATGTACACTCTTTCAGATGGTCTTGTCCACTAAAAGAGGTTGACTGAGATACCCAGCTGCTGTATCAGATCCCAAGCGAGAGCAGCGAGAGGTACCATTGTCAGCGAGACTCTGGGCATCCGTATCACATAGCCAATTTATAGCTACCAACCTTGATCTGGGCCTTTGGGGTTGAAGGACGAGATGTAATCAGTCTGTGATCGAAGTACTTTTGCTTAAAGAAGCCGTCGCGTCCAGATGGTAGAACTTACAAGTCCTGACGAATGACAAACACAGAGAGTCTGTTTCGAGCATGTGGCAGAAACCACGTCTTTGAAGCAGTGGTGTTTATACTCAGCCCAGCCATGTTGCGGTAGTAGTCAACATCGAAGCCACGTATTCGGTCGAGATGCCGATTGTGCTGGTTGAAGCCCTAAAGAATTTCTTGAAACCAGAGTCCCTCGCTGTATACCATTAGTTCCAGTTTCGAAGGGTTGCTGACGCAGCGGCAGTTCATCTCGTGGGAGTATCTTCTCTGCAGCAGCCAAGACTCGACTCGGGGCCGCTTTGATATCTTTGGTTCCAGCGCTTTGTCTGCTAAATGCTTCTTTCGAATCGAACAGAAGTCGCCAACTGTTGATCGATGTGCGGCTGAAAGCCTACCGCGTCTGTCTGCAAGTGCCTGGGAGGCGGAGCTCTAGTGTCTGCCTTTGTGAGATCGATAAATGGCTTCTTGGCACTCCCTAGGCAGGCGCATGAGAAGTTGCTTCGCACTCTCTAGATCCCTTTAATACGTATACCTTTTTGAATACTAAGCGAAGAAGGGAGACTTCCAGATGCCGAGGGAGATGAAGCTGACAATCACTAGTCCTCCATCTTCAGCCTCTTCCCGACTACTTTCTCCTTTCCTTGACGACTTCTTCAACAATCAGTCATGATTGCAGGTGTCAGTCCTATAACCACAGACGTACTGTAGAGGGGAGAGGCCCTGACGTTGTGTTCAGCTTCAGCACTGCACAAGGCATGTTGACTTCCCTGGCATGGTCGATGGTTGGTTTAGAATATAGATGTGACGATGTGGTCATGCTCTCTAAATAGGCAACTCCTTGGTGACCAGCCATTCGCTATGTACTCCGAGTCCAGTACGGTCAATAATTATAGTCTCGAGACTGTCTTAGTATGTGAAGAAGTGTCACAAATCAGGCTGTTATGCCCTTTGTCTGGGCTGAGGACACTCACCCGTGGTGGTGATCAGCTAACGACAAGTCGCGGGCTAGAGATAGAAGCGCGAGAAACTCGATTGCGGTCTGTCCAGTAAGCTAGGGAATGTACCATGTGACTTAGACTTCTAGAAGGTATGCAAACGGTAGGAAAGATAAATCCATGCTATGAATGCAGCCTCCCGATCCAGTATCCAGATATCTCAGAGGCCACTACTTGCGGCAGTGGTCGCCCGAGGGCAACGTAGTGCTTGGTCAAGTTTCCAAATCCAATTTGAACATCACCATCGCAATGACTACTAGATCTCTTTGAGTGGCTTGGGCAATTGAGTTGCTCTGGCGGTGTGTTCGATGACAGCTAACTGTCACTCTCTGTCCAAGTCAAAGCCAACTTTGCGGATCTTCGAAGACTCCCGTTCAACTCTTCACGACTTCGAGCACTGGAGCTCTCTCAACACGGCCGTAAATCAAGCATGGAGACCAGCCTACACAGTCGTTTGGACGAAGCGGCCAGCTTTGATACCACGAACTGGAATTGATCTGACTTCTGCGTTGAACTTTCCGTACTGACACCCACCCCTATGTCCAAGGTGACGGTGAAATGACTACTGGCCTAGCACAGAGATCCTCGGACATTGACCAGCTGTGTAGATATCCCAGGCAGTTCTGTTAGTATTTAGCGGACAGATAGCTGCTCACCAAATTTGCCTTTCCAGATAGACCGGAGTGAAAGGGGCTCGTAGGCATATGCGAGGACCGTTGTTCATCCCTCGCCAACTACGTGTACGGAGGCTACTCAATTCGCATCTCAATGGTCAACTAACCTCAAGACCTGCCTATCGTTCTGTAGGGAGTAGCCTGCGCGAGCGTCAAGTTGACAACGACGTCGATCTGACTAAAGCCGTTCAGGTGTCAGGCTATAAGGGTGGGAGTAGGGAAACTCTGATGACAGTAGACATAGCATGGGACTTAATCTCTATCATTACACGCTCAAGAGCCCAATAACTAGCACATGAAAGATACAAATTCAATTTATGGCTTCTAGGACCGCTTGTAAAGGTTCGGAGTATGAGGAAGCCTGGAGGCTGACGATGCTGGGACTCTGTCGAGGGAGATTATCCACTCACTATCCTCTCGATGATATCCGTTCCTCATCGTTATGCCCATGTATCAAGAACGCCGCCAGATCGCCCCGGTTAGATGCCGGGGCGTACATGACCAACTTCAGAGAGAATAGTCACCCGCCCTTCTGACATCTACGGATAACTCCAGAGATATCAACAAAGCGCACCTAATTCTGACCATCGCTAGCATGCGAATAATTTACCACAAAAACAGTACTCACTTGTGGACCTAAACATTCAAACACGACCTTCATAGCCTACTTCGTACACTATCTTTCGGTTCGTTTTCGTCTCTGCGGCGGAACACTCCGTAGGCTCATCATTGCCGCATTCGTTGTGAATTCCTCGGCAGATACTGGAGCTCGTCCGTGGTCAAGCACTCGCAATGACTCGTTAGTTGTCATGATATTTAGTCAAGCAGAGTCCGAGATCCATAACCAGGTGGGAATAACTCGCGCTCTGGCGCCTCTGGCTCGTTCTTGAGCCACTTCAGGGTCTTGAGAATCGTCTAGGTGCTGTATAGTTCCACCTGGAAGATTAGACACAATTCGGGTACGCCCTGCCCTTGAAGTTGTCCTTGTGAGTTTGCGATGTTCTTTGACTTGACTGGCCCCTTTTGCCATACGAAAATAGTCCCGTATAGCTTTAGGAGAGTTTACGATCAACTACGCATACGAGTGCACTCTCTTTAGATTTCAAAGAGCTAGTTGCGATCTACGCAACTGCGGTTGCGGTGAGTTGACGATGGAAGGTGGGAGCAATCCGAACACAGGCTCCTATACGATGCTTCGATTCGCGGGAATTAATAAGTTCAACTCAAAAGTTACTGCTCTACATCTAAAATCTACGTAAATCTATCTTTACGTTACCCCGTTTCCCCCTTCTCAACATGAAGTTCACCACCGTCCTCTTCGCTCTTGGCGTCGTCGGCTTCTAGTCGATGGAGCTCATCAGTGAAGACCCGCTGTGTAAGTACGAGAAGCTCAGCGTCGAGGCCTGGTACAACTGCAACGATACCAACAGCGGCAGCGACCCTTAAAAGGACTCGGACTGCGACTTGCCCTGCGCGCGGGCGGGGAGAAACGAGGGGGCAAAGTTCAAGCACGTTAGCAAAAACGGGGGTGGCGACAGATGCGCCCTGCAGTGCTATCTTAAGTGAAGTGTGAGAAAATCAATGTCTGGAGAGCATGGGAGATCAAGCTGATGGGAGTGGACGAGCAGAAGGGAGGCGAGCAAAAGGGACTTGAACTTGGGAAAGACGATTGTATATGGCATTGGGAGGCGTTTGGACCGTTGGTTGTTGATAGACCCCATGACGGGGAAATAGTAACTCAATTTCAATGAGCCGAGTATCGAGGCTTTCATAACTAAGTCTCATCTTGCGAGCCTCCCATTATCTGGTAGCCGGAAGGCCGACAAAGCCCGGACCGGATGCGGCAGTCGTTGGGACCGAGTAAAGTGGACCATGCCGGGCCGTTGCGGATACCGTTACCCGGCTAAGACGGCACTTGCCTGAGGCATCCTCTACCAGAAGCATGCAGCGGCGGCCAGAAACGGCTCAGCGCCCTCAGCCACACGGGCAAAGGACTGCGGCCTCAAGAGTACAAGCCCGCCACTGCGCGAGCATTGTTCCCGGGTGCTGCACCCTTCCAACGTTGAGTCTTACAACTTCTCTGCATATCTTTCGCCCCCCTCTTAGCGTCAACAAAGAGACAATGCAACTCGGTCTTGAACTGGGTAGTCCCTCGGAGCCGACCCTTTTTGCCATCCCAACTCTGATGAAGAGTCACTGTAGTTGCTGGGATGGTGTGTCTCTGTTTTGTGAAGATCTAGATCCCATGAGTCACATGCGACCTCGATAGGTATCTCTCTGCAAGTCACCATCCTGGCGAGTCCAGGCAACGCGGCACCTGCAAGTGCAACCTAGGAATGCAAACAGATTTCTTTCACTGCCTGCCGCGAGCGTGGATCGTTTCTCGTCTTCTAGGCTAGACCAATCGATTCCCATCCCGAGCCTGACAGGCTGACGGTAATTGGAGCTGCTGATGACGTTGACGTACACTCCCCCACACTCTTCTCTTTCGTTGCACTCGAACCGGTAGTCACCAGGCTAGAGCTGCTGCAACGGTTCAATCACAGAGCCGCAAATCTCTTTAGTTCTTCTCATGGCAGAGGCCGTAGATTCATTCGCCACTCCAGGCAACTCTGCTGACCTCGGATTCCGATTTAGTCGGACTTCCAGAGTCGACTACGAGGCTACAGTGGCGCGTACTCTTAGTTGGTCTATTATGCATAGTCCTTTTCTCTTGGATTGTATCTGACATTAGGCACAAAGGCAAGGCAACGATCGCCTAACCAAGTACGCGGCTTATTCAAGTCCGGTTGCCTCAACTGAGTCTTATTTCAACCCACTATTCACTGCTTCTGCCTTTTGGACCTAGTTCTGGGTATCTATATAAACAAGCAGGCGTCTGCATCTACCTTGTCGCTCCCTAATCCATCGCCACCAAGATGATAGACTTGGGCAAGATGGACTTCTCAACCCTCTTCAAGGGCAACCTGACCGCCATGGCGGAGAACATGACGGGCGGCCGGGGAGGCTACGGCGCGGGCAACAGCAACAAGATGATGGAGTCCCTGCTGCCAATGCTGGGCGGGCAGTTCAACCCCGTCGTGCGCTCCCTGATGCTCCTGTACCAGATGATCGGCTCCAACCTGGGCATCGACCCGACGCTGATCCTGACGCTCGCGGGCTTCTTCTGGGCCGCGAACCGCGTCGTCCGCCAGGCCTACGGCGCCGTCTTCCGCCTGATCCAGGATAACTTCATGAGCTCCATCCACGTCTCGAGCACCGACGAGATTTACACGCACATGATGAAGTGGCTGGCGCTCCAGCCGCTGATGGCGAGCTCCCGCTCCCTGACGGCCGAGACAGTCAGCAAGACGGCGTGGGAGGAGGAGGAGGAGCTCGAGGCCCTGCAGACGAGGACGATTGCCGGGAGCGGGAGCGGCGCGACTGAGTTTCTCAACTTTTCCAACCAAGAAGCCAAAGCTGTAAGTTCTGTCTCTACACAATGTCTGATACGTAACTAACACTGAGTAGCCCCCGCGATACGTCCCCGCCGTCGGCGTCCACGGCTTCTGGTACAAGAAGCGCTACTTCCGCCTCCACCGCAAACAGCAGTCCGTCTTCGACGGCGAGTCCAACTACGGCACCTTCCGCAAGGAAGAGGACCTCATCGTCTCGTGCTTCGGCCGCAACCCGGAACCCATCAAGGAGCTCCTCCGCTTCGTCAAAGAGTTCTACTACCAGGACCACTACGCCCGCACGACCATCAAGCGGCCCAGCCCGGCGCCGATGCGCCGCTACGGAGGGCGGTATAACTGGAGCCAGGTCGCCAACCGGCCCGTCCGCCCCATGCGCACCGTCGTGCTCGACCCGCGGCAGAAGGCGCAGGTCATGGCCGACATGAACGAGTACCTCCACCCGGCGACGCCGCGGTGGTACGCGAACCGCGGGATTCCGCTGCGGCGGGGGTATTTGTTCTATGGACCGCCCGGGACGGGCAAGACTTCGCTTTCGTTTGCGCTCGCTGGCGTGTTTGGGCTCGATATCTTTGTGATTTCGCTGCTGGAGCCGACGTTGACGGAGGAGGATCTGGGGACGCTGTTTAACTCGCTGCCGCGTCGGTGCGTGGTGCTGCTGGAGGATATCGACACCGCGGGCCTCGCTCGCGTCGAAGACGAGACGGAGACTGACGCCGGTGGTGGTGGTGGTGCTCCCAACGGCACCAAAGACGGCGACTCCAAACCCAACCGCAACAACGCCAAGGACAGCACCAAGGACGAAAGCAGCAAAAAGACGTCTTCGACAACGAACAAAGACGACTGGAAAGTCTCGGACCTCGCTCGCGCCCTGAAAAAGGAATCCAAGGACGACAAAAAGGGCATCTCCCTCTCGGGCCTCCTCAACGCCATCGACGGCGTCGCGTCCCAAGAAGGCCGCATCCTCGTCATGACGACCAACAAGCCCGAATCCCTCGACGAGGCCCTGATCCGCCCCGGACGCGTCGACCTGCAGGTCGGCTTCACCAACGCCACGCCCGCGCAGGCGACGGAGCTGTTCCAGCGCATGTACGAGGCCGACGGCGCGAGCCCGGCCAAGAGGGTCGACGGGCACGTCGCGCCGCCGACGAACCCCGCGCCGCCCATCGTGATGAACGGGAACGGGAGCGCTTCCGGTTCTTCTTCGTCGTCGTCTCCGTCGACGCCTTTGCCTCTGCGGTCTTCCTTCGCCTCTCCGACAGAGAAAGTCTCCTCTCCATCGCCATCGTCACCAGAGACGGACGCGGCGGCAGCACAGGCAGCAGAGAAGAACAAGCGCCACGAATTCGACGGCGAGGAGCTGGGACGCATCGCCGACGAGTTTGGCGCCCTGATCCCCGACGGCCTCTTCAGCCCGGCCGAGATCCAGGGGTTCCTGCTGAAGCGGAAAAAGGATCCCCGGCGGGCGCTGCGGGAGACGGCGGCGTGGGTGGAGGGGATGCGGCAGCAGAAGGAGAACAAGACCAAGGTGCTCAGGGTGCAGTGAGGGCCTCTCTCTGTGTCCATCTCGCCAACTTCTCCCTTCGCGATGGCTCTGACATATACGTTTTGTGCGGTTATTGCCGCGTCTTGGCATTTCTCCTATTTGCAACTTCTGGGGGCAGGCCACGGAATACGGTAGCATAAGAGACGGGCATGAGATATATATCCGAGGGACCTAGTTTGTAAACAGAGCATAATGCGAACCTTACGCCAGTGATTCTCTTCTTCCACTTTGAGCCGCATTACTGTGATGACCCCTAGGTCGAGGATTCCGGCATACCCCTATTACATCAAGGCAGGACTTCCGAGGGATACGCCGCATCCACGTCCGTCTCACCTCCCTGATCGTCTGCGAAGCGAACGCCACGCCGCTCGGGAAAAACGGTCTCTTCCATAAGACGCTCATCGTACTCAATATATCCCTCATCGTCATCGTACCCGTAGCCGTCTCCATCATCCTCATCGCCGTACTCCTCCTCTAGCCCCTCTTCTTCCTCTTCCTCCTCCTCCATGCCCTCATCAAGACCAGGCACGGGTGCAAAAACCCGCCTCTTGGGCTCGTAATCGTCATCATTGAGGTAGTCAACGTCGTCCTCGCTTTCGTCCTCGTCAGTGTCTTCGGCACCAGAGTCCTCTTTACGAGCAGCCTTGCGCCCCGCGGCGGCGGCGGCAGCAACGCCCCGCGGCCCGTTAGACTTAGTGACGCGGTACGCGGTGCCCTTGCGCTTCTTCTTGGGTTCCTTGAACCGGCGGCCGTACAGCACACGCTTCTCGGCGTCGGTGAGCTCGAGATCCGGCAGCGGCACGTGAACGCTCGAGGAGCCCGGCGGCGGCGTCGTGTCGCGCACATCGTAGATGCCGGCAAAGTCGTCGTCCGTGAGCTTGCGCCCAAACTGGATCGCAATCATCTTGGTCTTCATGATGCCCTTGACCTTGGCCCACGTGCCCTGGTGGTACCAGCCACTATTGTAGATGTCCACCTCGGGACGCTGCGGTGCCGTTGCAAAGATGTTTGCAATCAGGGGATCCGTTATGTCGCAAATCTGCCAAACCTTGCCGTCGGTCCAGTACGACTTGCCGTCAAAGACGTGGGACTCGTGGTTGTCGCCCTGGGGCTGGCGCTGCTCTGTGCGCAGGCTGCGGATAGCATGCCATGTCTCACCAATGTGCCCAGCCTGGAGCTTGCGCATGTTGAAGATCATCGTCTGGTACGTCCTGAAGGAGGGATCGGTGCGCGGGTCGACGCCATACTTGATGATGGCATCGCGCCAGGGCCCGCCACGGAACTGGTAGCCGACGTAGCCGACGCAGCGCTTCATGACGTTGGCGTTGCGGACAACGGACCCGAGTTTGTTCATTAGGGACCGGCGCGTCCAAATGGGCCGCTCCTCCATCGCCTCCAGCATGCGGGCTATGCAGTACGTGACCTCCTCGTCAGAGCCGTCGTACGGTGTTTGCGGGCCTGCCGGAATGGGATACTGGTCTGCTTTGAGGAAGTAGCCGATGAGAGTCGGCAGCTGGGTGTTGATGAGCTGCGCCTGGCCTGTCTGGTCGAGCTCAGTGCGGACATAGGGGTTTTGGGAGTAGTTGTAGATGAAGGGAAGCGTCATTGGCGTCCACACGGGCGGCGGCACAATGTCGACGTTGGGCCCCTTGTCGACGCCGTCAATGAACTTGAAGTCCCTCATCTTGGTGACTGTGGCGAGTTAGATGCCATTCGGCCAGCGCTCGGACTCAACTTACTATCGCCAGGCATGACCTGGTTCATGAACCTCGAAATGAAGGGAGACTGCTCGAGGCCCCAGTGGAAATCCGCCATGCCTGTCTCTTGTCAGTTGACGTAGATGAGTGGATGGGAATGTCTTCACCTCTGAAGCGGTGGGTGTGCTTGATGACGCCGACGGCTTCCACGCTGTACCTGTCAACGTTGTCTCGCATTTTCCGCCGCAGAAGCTTTGGATTGTCCAGCCTCGACCTGGAGTAAATGGGCTCGGCTCCTGGGCTGGCCCTGGGCACATCGCGCATGTCGACTTCACCTTCCCACGGCCCATCCGACCCTCTCTTCCTTTTCCTGCCGGTCCGCTTCGGGACCATGACCTTCAAGACCACATTGTGGCTCGTAGCGCTGTGAGACATGATGGGTCTGCGGAAAGGGCTCTCTGGGTTGAGATAGAATGGGATTGTGTTGCGCTCACTGTCGAGGATCTGGCCTGGCGTCAGTATCGGATAGAGACTGTGACCCCGCGATACACACATTTTGGAAAGACGAGACGTTGCCAAAAGCCTTTTCTGTGCGATCCAGGTTCATGACAATCATGGGAATTTCGACGGCGCCCATGGTCCTCTTGGGGATCGGGAATCGGGGCGCCGAGTTGCTGTCTTTGGGTGGTGATGGGCCATGGTCTTTTGAGATATCGTCCTTATTAACACCTTCGACGCCCTCGACGCCCTCGACGGCCTCGGTGCCTTCTTTCGCCGTTCCATCATTGACTGGTTCGACCTGGGTGTCCATAGCGACGGCTTATTGTTGGTTTCTATCGACACACTTGGTTCGAGATTTAGTGGTGGTCAGTCGGGGCCAGATGATTGGCTGCTTCTGACTTGAAGCCGTGGAACCGCGTGTAATGGAAGATGTCTCAGCGGGAGCGCTTGGCGAGACTGAAATCCAGGCCGAAGGCCGTTTTGGTCACCCCGTGGCTGTCACTGGAATTGTGATGCCGTCCCGAGCGACCGTGATGGATTTGATGCACGGTGCGAAGTGTAGCCCGTTCCGAATGGTCACTGCATTTCAGCGGGTGCTCTGGGCCGTATGGAGTCCCTGCACTGTACAGCGCGCGCAACGGCAGGCGCGATGGAATCGACAAAAATTGTCGCGAAGTTTCCTCTCTGCCACGCAGTAAGGTAGGTAGGTAGATCCAGTGTGGCATCACCGAAGACATCAGATGAATCTCGCCTCAGACACGGATTAAGGACGTAAAAGACACGCGACGATTCTCCCATCAGGAATCCCCATCAACTCTATTTACAGCGATGCAGAGTCTCACAGGAATGGAGACAGACGTATTCGCGTTTCAGATGCCTCAGCTGGCCCTTTTTTTCGTCCAATGTTGACCACTTGGAGAATTGTTCCCGAAGAACTGGGCGGCGGTTGTTTCTGAGGCAGCTTGGGCCCGTGGTGATGCGATGATGCCCACATGGCGCGGGATGCGTCCCAAGGAGAGGTCCCTGCAAGGGCTAGCAGGTGACTTGCAGCAGCAGCAGGAGCAGCAGCAGTACCGGATCGTAGAGTGATGCCATCACAGTATGTCAGCGTGAAATGACACGGATCAAACGGAATGGGGACCCTTTTCTTCAGTTTCGCAGCGTGGCTTGGCAGTGTGCTGTCATGGCCTCTGTGTGCATTGTGATGTATTTGTGTGGAGATGGTCTGTGGGGGCCAAAGGGGTGCAGTGGTGCAGTGACCCGACCCGGACCCGTCAAAATGCTCCGGAATAACACTATGCCCGTCAGGAGAGATTGAGCTCCAGGGTCCAGCTTCCACCCCGCCAATCACAGCTGCCAAAGTGCAAGAAGCAGTGACCCCGGCTGTCCAACCAGACGAGGGCAACTTATCTTACCTAATCCCAGAATGATCCGTGCTCAGCCACCAGTCTTTGGCAGTCGGTGACAGTTGTCACTCACAGGAGGTACCAAAGTCCCTTTACTCCATCCGTTCTGCACAGCACCTGCGCCTGCACGCCTGCCGCTGTTGGCCTGCTAGGTACTTCGTGGTGCCCTGTTGTGATCCTCGCAGCGACTGTACAGACTGACCTGAGGTGCGTCTCCAGTTCAACAGCCCAAAACCCACCTGTGGTGCGGCGTACCCACCCAATTCCTGCGCAGTAGGTGCGATTGCAGTCTGTCCAGTTGGGTTGATGATGCAGGCGAGGAGCACCAGACCACACCTTCCACTGCCCACTGCCACTGCCACTGCCATTGCCTCGACCTCCACTCGTCAACCTCATCCGTCCCCTCTTACAACAACAGCACCCGGGTATATGCCGACTGCGTGCCTCTCTGGAATCCCAATGCGCATCTTCAACACCACTTCTCCTTCTTCCAAACCCATTCTGTCATTGACCGACTGTCGAACTTGCCTTATCTGAACCTTTCTTATCCAACCCCCAACTCCCGCGTCAACAGCGCCTCCTACTGTCAACAGTGTCAACAGTGTCAAGGCCTGTTCCTGGCTGGCTGCCGCCGCACCACTGGGGCCGTCTCCAGCTGTCCAGACTCCCAAAGCACCGCTCTCTCTACCTTAATATTTGCACCGCCGCTAGCACGTTAGGGGAGGTCGGCTTTCTGGTCCCGCGTCGTCGTCTCACACTTCACACCTGGGCCCCGCAAACAACTTCAGCTTTACCGACGATCCAGAGATTCCACCCCCCATCTACCTTCAACCTCTCGCGTCTGGCTCTCTTCTTTCGCTGCCCGATCGCCCATACCTCTTTTCTTCATCTGCCAACCTTTGATGCGTCGTTACCTTGTCGCAACTCACCCGCCAATTCTCGACTCTAGCTTCCACCCCCTGCTCTTCGCATCCAGAAGCGACGCTTTCCTGACAACCCAACCCTAGCACTCGCCGAGCAACAGCGACAGCGACAAGCGACAGCAACGCACTCCTTTCATCACCTTGACATCGATCTGCCGACGCGCTGGCTACCGCCTGAACACCCACCGCGCCCACGCATAGCCCTTCATTCTATTGCGCAGCTCGCCGTCCGGGCCGTCTACCAATCCGCCCGCATCGCCTGCCCACATTCGACGACACCCGGCCGATATTGAACCCCCTGCAGCAGCAGCACCACCTGCACCTCGACCGTCCGCCCTGCGCTCCTCCATATCCCGAATCGTTGTTGGACCTGCGTCCATTGCGGTTTACAGTCTCTAGTTGCAGCTTTCGAGTCGGCGAGTCTGTCGCCCCACGGAGAGAGGGAACACTACAGTGACGTCCACAATGAAGCGCTTCAGCCAGAGGGTGGTGAGTTGTCTCCGTTCATACCCGTTGCCCCTGAAGCCCAATCCCGCTGCTGAACACGATATTGACAACCCAGCATGCTCAGCTCTCGCGCGGCAAAGACCCCAATAAGCCTAAGAAGAACAAGGACGCCAAAGATGGCACCGCATCCCCCGGCGGTGCTGGCTCAGGCAGAGATGCCAACCAGTCACCCAACCCGACGCCCTCGTCCTCCACCACGAACCTCGCCGATGCCCGCAACAAGCCCCTGCCTCCTAACAACGCCGGCGGAGAGCACGGCACCGCGAACCAGCCCTCTCCATTGAGCAACCAGCAAGGTGCCGACCGCTTCAGCTCTGCGGGTGCTGCCCAAGGTGCTAACGGGGCAGGTTCTCCAGGCCGTCATGGAACTTTGCCGCCTACCGTCATCATCAGCCCCAGTGCTCCGGTAAGCTTGTGGCCTTCGTCCTGTTCATGATACTCTTGATCCCTGACACTTTCTCCCAGCACGTCCCACCTCCCGGTGCCGCAGAGACCATGCCGCACGATCTCGCGCCCCCCAAGGCCGGCACCAAGTCGCTCATGTTCGATCGCCTCCACCAGACTCCCAAGGACGTCCCCGAGGGTCTCAGGACACCCAAGCGACAGCACTCTTCACGATTCGACATCTCTGCTCACCGCGAGCTCGAGAAGCTCCCCGGCTTCCACGAGGTGCCCCCTAACCGCCGCCAGGAGCTGTTTATGCAAAAGATTGACCAGTGCAACGTCATCTTTGACTTTAACGATGCCAGCGGTGACATGAAGTCCAAGGAGATCAAGCGATTGGCGCTCCACGAGCTGCTCGACTACGTTGCTAACAACCGCCAAGTCATTACGGAACCCATGTACCCCAGAGTCGTCGAGATGTTCGCCAAGAACCTCTTCCGCCCTATCCCCCCGCCGATGAACCCCCAGGGCGAAGCGTTCGATCCCGAGGAAGACGAGCCCGTCCTGGAGGTTGCATGGCCCCATATCCAGGTCGTCTACGAGTTCTTCCTCCGATTCATCGAGAGCCAAGACTTCAATACCAACATTGCCAAAGCCTACATTGACCACAGCTTCGTCCTCCAGCTGCTGGAGCTCTTCGACTCCGAGGACCCGCGCGAGAGGGACTTCCTCAAGACGACCCTGCACCGAATCTACGGCAAATTCCTCAACCTCCGCTCCTTTATCCGCCGCTCCATCAACAACGTCTTTTTCCAGTTCACATACGAAACGGAACGATTCAACGGTATCGCCGAGCTTTTGGAGATTCTGGGTTCCATTATCAACGGATTCGCCCTGCCGCTGAAGGAGGAGCACAAGACCTTCTTGACAAGGGTGCTGATACCATTGCACAAAGTCAAGAGTCTGAGCATGTACCACCCGCAGCTGGCATACTGCATTGTCCAGTTCCTCGAAAAGGACGCGTCGCTGACGGAAGAGGTGAGTCGTCTTGTGTTTCTGTCGGTGACTGAGCTAACGTGTACAGGTCGTGCTCGGCCTCTTGCGATACTGGCCCAAGGTCAACAGCACAAAAGAGGTTATGTTCCTTAACGAGGTCGAAGACATCTTCGAAGTTATGGATCCAGCCGAATTTGCCAAGGTCCAGGAGCCTCTGTTCCACCAGCTCGCCAAGTCTGTAGCCAGCCCTCACTTCCAGGTCGCAGAGCGAGCGCTCTACTTTTGGAACAACGAGTACTTTTGCAACCTGGTCAGCGACAACGTCGAGATTATCCTGCCCATCATGTTTGCGCCGCTCTATGAGAATTCAAAGGGCCACTGGAACCGGTGAGTACGGACGCTCCCTATACTCGAGACCCGCTAACCTCTGACAGCACCATCCACGGCATGGTGTACAACGCCATGAAGCTGTTCATGGAGATTAACCCCCAACTATTCGATGACTGCTCTCACGACTACACCGAGCAACAGAACAGCGCCGCGGCCAGAGAAGCCTTGCGCGAGAGGAAATGGGCTTCCATCACAGACCAGGCCGAGCAAAGACGATCAGCAAACGGCGCACCGACCGCGGGTAGAGCCCACGCTGGATCCCTTTCCCGCGTCGACGAGGTTGACGGCACCGAAGACAACCAGAAGCGTCTAGATTCTCTTAATCTGCAGGATGGAGATCGCAGGGATCGTCGGCAAGAGCAACAAGACTCGGTATGATCAGCCCACACCATGATTTACGCTTGTCCCTTGCTCATGTTTGGCGTGCCTTTGCGCTGCCTTCTGTTCGACTTATTGCGTGCCCCACGCCCCACTGGACGATGATTAACATGTCGGATTCTAGGACGCGGAAGAGAACGGCGAAGTCAAGGCCGAGGCGGACGAGGAGTCATGACGGGGGACCGACATCACTGAATGACATGCCTTCAACCGGTTGAGGGGAGACTTTTTAAAAGGGGAAACTCATGCATGAGTTGTATGCTGGAGGGAATGATTCAGAGGATCACCCAGGAAACGACTTTGGTGCGGAGAGGAAAGAAAGGTTTCCGTGCGCTAGGGATGGGGCCTCGCAGCCCCCGGAAACATAACTTAATTTTCATGATGTCACTTCTTTTGTTTTCTCTTTTTTTTTTCGCGTGGAATACAGACTCGACTCGAGATCGAGTTGCCCCCGCCCGCCGTTTTTGGGGTGACAGAGATTTGGTGTGAGGGGGTTGCGAAAAGAAAAACGTTGTGTTGGGAGCGTTGGGAGAAAGGGGACGGAAAGCACAAGAAGGCGTGGATGGACGAGAAAGATGGGGATTGGCGTACAAAGGACGCAATTCAGGGAGGGAAGACGATGATTTTCCTCTTCTTCTGCGCGAGCTTTATTGCTCCGCGAGGAATCGAGGGAATCGCGATGGTTCTTTTACCTCCTTGGTTTCTGTCTTGGACGATGAATGAGTACTGGCGTGTGATTCCGCCACAATTCTAGACTTGGGTAACAAAAAACGGCTTACGCAGAACTATTTTGAGAGTTTGCTCGCGGTGGCACCGTGTTCATGTTTGATGGCGTGTATTTGTTTTGGTTGCTAATCTACAGGTTCTTCTTCTCTCCGATCTCCTCTGTGATCTCAAGACGACGTCACCACCCGCCTCTGCCGCGATCAGAGCCTCCGCCTCGTCTCCCGCGTCCACGGTACCCGCCGCCATTGCCTCGTCCGTACTGCTGATAATTATTATACTGCGGCTGCTGCTGTGGAGGAGGAGGAGGAGCTGCCCACCCGCCCATGTGCGGTGGCGGAACCCCTGGGCCCGGCGGCGGAGGAGCCCAGCCGTGTGAAGGAGGGGGGCCGCCCAGGTGAGGCGGTGGTGGTGGCGGCGGCGGCGGCCATTGGCCCTGATAGCCTTGCGGAGGCGGTGGCGGCGGAGGGAAGTGGCCGAACCCGCCTGCCGCCTGTGGTAGTGGCGGGGGGTACGGCGGAAAGGCTTGGACTTGTGAGGAGTTGTAGCTTGAGGGAGGGGGCGGCGGCGGCGGCTGCTGTTGCTGTTCCCAGCCGGCGGTGTGACTTCCCGTCCCAAAGTCTGGGGGGTTGTGGTGGCGATTGCGGTCGGATGGTGGTAGTGGTGACCTGCTGGCATTGCCACGGCCCCTATCTCTATCTCGGTCTCTTGCTGGGCCACGATCGCGCGACGTTGATCTTGATCTGTACCGAGCACGCGACCTCGACCTAGATCTTGACCTCGACCTAGACCTGCTGTAGTCTCTCGAATCGTAGCGGTTGCCACGCGCAGGGCTGCGCCGACGATCCCGGCTCCAACTGCGACTACGGCTAGGCGTCCGCGAGTCCGGTGATACTCTGCGTCGTTTAAAGGCCGGCGGAGAGTCGCTCCTGCTGGATCTGCTACGGGAGGAGCTTCGAGAACGGCTCCTGGAGTCGGACCGCCCACGGCCGCGATCGGTTGCCCCCCCTTTCGTCTTCTTCCTCCGCTGCTTCATCTTCCCGCAGAACCTGCGGGACCACCCGTAGTACGTCTCCCCGTCGACGACCTCGCCCGTGATCTCGTCGAGAACGATCCGCTCACCCATCTCGCTGAGGCCTGTGTGCTGCTGCTGCTGATCATCTCGCGGGGCCACGCCTGGGTTGTAGAGCCTTTCGACGTCCGCGAGCAAGTCCTTTACCGCCTTGGCGAGGGCCTTGTCCGCGGGTCCTGGGGCGAGCTGCAGCGGCTTGATCATGTCTGGGTTCATGGCCTTTGTCGAGTTGGGCGTGAGATGCGGCAGCCAATTCGCGGCTGGGAGGTCGAACCAGGGCGTGTTGGGGTCGCCGTGGATCGAGGGAATCATGTAGGGCGCGTCTTTGGCGGGCTTCGAGCCGAGATTCGACCCCGTCTGGCCCTGTTCTCCCTTTGCTACCTTGCCGCCGTGGGGAGCTTCTTTGATGGTCTCGCGGAGGTCGTCGATGACGGTCGCCGAAAAGTACTCTTGCTTCTCCCACAGTGCCAGCAGATCCTCGAGCTTCTTTGCCTGTTTGGGGCAGTTTGGAAACTTGGCAGCGCCGTGGAGTAGGGGCGTCAGGCTGGCCTCTAGGGCGGTCGCGAAGCGCGCATCCCGATCGCGCACGGCGACGTGGTAGAGAACGTCGTTGATGAGGTAGAGAATGTGCAGACGCTTCCTTCGCGTCGAGGGCTTCGTCTTGCCATCATCGGGAAACGAATTGGAGAGGGCGGCCAGGTATTTGCCGACGGCGCTGACGCGCGCCGGCGAGGGGACCAGGTTCTTGAGGATCCAGCGCTTGCATTTCTAGAGGCGGCGGGAGTTTAGTCGACCTTGCAAACACAGAGGAGCGCACACAGAGATGTGTAGAGATAGAGAGAGAACAGCGGCAATAGTAGAGGCCGCTGGAGGGCGTCAAACCTGAACGTTGGCCGGCGAGCACTGGTGTATCGCGTCGTGGAGGAGGGTGTGAAAGCTCTCGATCTCGGGCCTGGTGAGCGAGACGGGTTCTTTGCGGAAGAGGATGGCGCTGAAGGAGGCCTTGGCTATTGCTAGCTCAGGGTTCGCCATTGTGAGCCGGTCGCATGCCTGCTGGGTGGATTGGATCTGGGAGAGTAGGCGTTGGGCAAAGAGGTGAGGTTGAAGTGGGATGTCGAGGTTGAGCTAGAGCTGGAGCAAAAGGACGTGCCGCCACAAGCTGCAACGGCCGCGACAGCTGGGTGCTTAGGGCCAAAGTGGCTTAGCTCGGATTGAGGCTGGAGGTCGGAATTGGGGGTTTCTGCGGCATCTTCCGGAAGGACCCATCTGCCCAGTGCGAACAGCGGCCTGTGTCTTCGCGGTTTGCGCCGATCGGCCCTCGTGCTTGAAGTCGACAAAGATTGAGGTATTGGCCTTGAGGCAATTGGCATGCTTTGCCGATACAGAACGACCAATCGTAGGCTAATGGTAGAGACTCGTTGATTGATGGAGGCACTGATGTCGAGAGTGGTGCATTGCGTGGGTTCACCAACGGAGACGAAGCATGCTCCAGGTGTAATGAATCATTGACAAGCTCCCAAATCAGATACTGCTTTTCAAGTCACCAACGCGAAGCCCGACAAACGCAAGAAATAGGGCGCAGAAAATTGGTCATCGTTTCTTCGTGTCGTCCTCAATGATACAATGTACAGCCAGAACCGGCCGAGCAAACAATTATACTACACGAGCTCTGGGTCCATCCACCGCCTTGGTCCAGTGACTATGAGAACCGATCCCCCTTTGGACTCTTGAACGGCGTACTACTTTCGTATTTGCTCTTCTCCGTCACTCTCTGCGCTTCGGTCGCCGGGGCGTGGCGGGTCGGGGCGGGATCGGAGCTGGACTCCTGGCTAGGGGAGCCGGCGGTATCGGTGCGCGCAGCCCCGGCCATGGCGGACGCGGAGCCGGGCTGGGAGGGAACGTTGTCGCCGTACTCAAGAGACTGGACCATCGCCTTCTTCTGGCGCTGCTCCTCGAAGCGGGCAGCACGATCGGCGTTGATGCTCTGCTTGGCAAAGTAGTAGGCAGCTCCGCCGGCTGACACGGGGGTTGGTTAGCTACGCGACGCAAAAGGGCTCAGGACAACATACCTGCGCAGAGGGAGCCCCATCCGAGCCTGCGAGACGAAAGAGTGTCAGTGTTGGTGATTGATGAGAGCGGTTTGCGACCAGGACGACGAGTCAAGCCTACCAGAATGATTTGACCTAGGATTAGGCTTGATGTCAGCCAAGAACTTGAAACCATGTGCGACGGCCGGGGAGGAACTTACGGTGTTCATGTTTGCGGTGGAACGTGAGGGTTTGAGGATTTGGACAGATCGGTTTTGTTGCAATGGAGAGAGCTGTGTTGTTTGGTCTGAACAACCAAAGAAAGAAAGAAAAAATGTAGCCCTGTCGGCTCGCTCAAAGGACGATTGGGAACCCGGTCGATCGGAGCGCAAGCTGCCACTGAGCAACGAGGACGCACTGTAGAAAGTGGGATGGTCTGATGATGGAGCTCGAGAATCCCCGATGGCTTGGCCTTTTGCACCGTGCACGCAAGCTGTGGACCCCGAAAGATGAAAGAGGTTAGCCACACTTCCGTCACCCAACTGACAGATCAAAAGTAAGTAGTGCAACTGTGTTGTAGCCAGGCTGGAAAATCTCTAAATAGCATAGAGACCAAAGTTGTACCTTGTATCTGATGGTGGTTGAAACAAGTCTCTACCAGAACGGAGAATCCAGGGTTGAGGAGCGGCCAAGATGCTTCAATCCAAACAGCTATGGCTAGAAGCTGAGGTAAGCAGGTACGTAGTCCCAGACCCCAGGCACGGGACAGGTGCGCCGGACTCAACGATCGCTGTGCTGTGCGTGCCTGCCACGCCTGCGAGGGACGTTCTGCGTAGTTTACAGGGGTGCCTTCAGCCTGTGAACTCGCCTAATTACGGAACGACTAGTGTCCAACCTTGAAGTTCCTCAGGAACCAAGGCGGCAAGGCCAACGGCGGCGGCCCTGGTCTCATCGTCTCCCCCAGCCGCGAGGTACATCTGTCAAAGTACCTACCTTACCTTGTGGCTGAGGGCCTCCGTAATCCGCATCTCGAATTCTCGACAACTACTCCGTATTGAGCTCGCCCAGTCCCGCAACTGGGCTCTCAACCCTGGGCCCAACTGGTGAGGCTGACAGAGATGGAGACGCTTGCTTGGCAGGGTCATATGTCATTACGGGGACTGCTAAACCCAGACGGGCCATAATGCTGCGGCGGGACAGGCACGACGGCACGTCGCAGCGCAAGTCGTAATTGACGGCAGTGTTTGGATGGCGAGTCCCCTCAAACCTTACGTACATCCCACCACGTACCGTTCCCCCTCACTGTCTTCTGTGTGTCTGTCTGTCAGTGTCGGTTACCACCCACCCTCTCTACCTTACCTTGAGGTACAACGCTGTTGCGTGCACGGCGCCGCAAAGCACTACTGCGGCCTACGTGCCTAGCATACGTTTCCCTTTTTCCTCCCCTCCCCTTCCCTGCCGTGCCTACCCACCTGCCCGCCTGCCCTGCCTCATCTCGGAGAGCGGTACTTCCCTCCATCCCCCAGACTGGTGCGCCAACCCAGGTACCGGCGAATCAGGTACACCATCCACACACTGCCGTCCCAGCAAAACGGCTACGCAGTACGAAGTACCTTACGGAGGGAATCTTATTGCTCCAAGGGGCCATTGCAATGCCACTTCGTCGTCAATCACAACCTCCCGCACCTTGCCTACTGCCACTGCTCCAGAAAAACACCCGAAGCCTGCTTTCCCTCTCACCTCTCACGCGCCCATCGTGACGGCAACCTGGCCATGCTCCCCTTTGCATCTCGCTAGCTTCGAAACGTCCGCCCAGCATCATTATGCTCCTCAGCCCTCTTGCACGGCCGTCCATCCCACTTGTCAGAATCTCTCCTACTACACGCGCGCAACAAACCCTCGCTCTCACGCCCGCTTACGCATACTTGCGACGACACTCGACGACCTCGTCAATCCACGACCACCAACCTACCCTGCTTGGCTAAGCCGGCGACAGACCACACGCCGTTGGAGGGCTCATGACGATACACTTGCAGCCGTGGGTGTAATGGGTATCGGCACCCTGGGCTCCCGCTGTCGTTTCTGCTACAACCATGGCTCCTCCCGCTCAGAATGGGCCTGATGGCTCATCACTTGTACGACTCCCTGTCTTTTGTCTTTTTACAACGCTGACCATACGCAGAAACCCGTCTCGTCGCTGAGAGCCAAGTTCGAGAACATGAACAAGAACGGCGAATCTGCCGCCGCGCCTGGCCCCTCCCCGCCCCGAACCATCTCTCCGGCCCCGAAGCCAGAGTTCCTTCGAGATGCGAAAGCCTCCTCCGAAAGCCTTCAGAGCCTCCCAATTCCCCCGAGACCCCGCGAGCGCGCGAGCATCTCGGCACCGTCACTCCCGCCTCCTCTTCACGAGCCCGTCCCTCGCTCACCCGGCCGCTCCCTCGGTGTCCCTCCCACCTTGAAACCGGAGCCCGTAAAGGCTCCTTCGGTCCTGATAGAACCGCCTCAGTCACCGCCAAAGAACTCCATCTCGAGGTTCTCCATCGCCGAGGCACCGGCCTTCTTAAACGCCGCCGACTCCGGCTCTTCCACCCCCACCACGCCAACCACTTCGCGAGCCTTCAAGATCCCAAGCAGGCCGCACACCCCTTCGCTCGATCCGCGACGTTCACCGAGGTTGTCTGCTTCACAGCCGCCTTCACCACCGCCGCCGAGACGATCTGGCGAGATACGGAGGGACCACAAGCCCGCCGTGCCCCCGCCAATCAACCGTGCCGAAAAGCCGTCGATGCGAGACCAGCCCAAGGCTCCCTACTACGCAGATCACCAAATCGGGGCTGCTGAAATCAGGGGCAAGCTCAGGGAAGAGACGTCTCCCTTTAGCAGCCCGCCTGGAAGCCCCGATAGTATCCACGAACCGGCCCCTCCAACTCTCCCCACCAGGCCAAAGGCGCTCGCAACGCTGACGGAACCACCGCCGCCCCAGAGAGGCAGACCGATAGATGTTGGGTTCGCGCCGCCCCCCGTTCACCATTCCATCATGACCAAGAGGAACCAGCGGGAGCAGGAGACGAATGGATTCATCAGGGGTCAGATCACTCCGCAGATTACGGGTGACCGGCCTAATGTACCCGCTCTTCCCGCGAGACCGCAGACCGTTGCGGAGCCTCCGCCGCGGCCGCCCGTCACGATGAAACCGCCTCCGCGGCCTCCAAGAGCGGGCGGCATCAACACCCACGTTGCCAGCCACTCCGTCAGTCATTCGGTCGACTTCCAGCCCCCGCCTAAGCGAATCGTCTCGACCCCGACAACAACACATCTTCCGCCGCCATCACGGCTACCGGGGCGTGCGAATACAGTCACGGACCGGACGTCACCGCGTCCGCCGCCTCCTCAACCACCTCAGCCAGTTCAACATGTTCAGCATGTACAGCCTGCGCAGCCTCCACCACCACCCGAGCCGACTGTGTCTCTTATTCCCTCCAGCAACACGTCAAAGGTCGAGATCAACGGCAACATACCAAACTTCCCGGACCCCGCAAACGTCAACCGACGACCGCCCTACATCAAACACGGCATGCACGAAATCCAGACCAAGTACGATCCGAGAACGTTCGACGTGTGCGGCGATCTCATCTGTACGACTGGCCACCTGACACGAGTGTGGAACCTCCGAGACGGCGAGCTGTTGATGAGTTTTGCTCACGGCGAAGGTATCAAGGCCACGACGGTGGCTTTCAAACCCGGCTTGAATGTGGACGAGGAAGGAAAGAGACTGTGGATTGGAAACAACTTTGGCGAGCTGATGGAAGCCGATATTGCAACGCAAAGCGTGGTCGCGAATAAGCCAGGGGCTCACGGCCGGCACGAGGTTGTCAAGATTTACCGCCACTTCAACGAGATGTGGTCGTTGGATGAGAATGGCGGCTTGCTCGTCTGGGCCCCGGATGAAGAGACTGGAACGCCAAATCTGACCAATAACGCGCACCAGGCATTCCGCCTCCCCAAGGGCCATTCATTCTCCATGGTTGTCGGTGACGAGCTGTGGCATGCGACAGGCAAAGAGATCCGCGTCTTTGCGCCATCGTCAGACGGACAAACCCAATTCCAAGTGTTGGTCCGCGCTCTGGCCCAGGACACGGCGGGCGAGGTGACGTCTGGAACGCAAGTGCGGTCACAGCCGAACAAGGTATTCTTTGGCCACGCCGATGGCAAGGTATCCATCTACAACACGCAGGACTTTTCGTGTCTGGGCCTCGTCAACTTGAGTTCGTGGAAGATCAACACTCTCGCGGGGGTGGGCGATCACCTCTGGGCAGGGTTCAACACGGGCAAGATTGGTGTCTATGACATGGAGCCCACGCCCTGGGCACAAAAGAAGGACTGGCAGGCGCACGAGAAGAATCCCGTCGTGAAGCTCGTCTCGGATGCATCGAGTTGTTACAGGCTGGATCGCCACCAGGTCATCTCTCTCGGTGCCGACAACATGCTCCGCGTTTGGGACGGCCTGCTGCAGGACGATTGGCACGAAGCGGAGATGAAGGCCATGGACACACAGTACTGCGAGTTCCAAGATCTCAAGGTGCTGTGCATGACGTGGAACGCGGGTGCTTCAACACCCCACAGCCTGCGATACGCACAAGAAGATGCCGAGTTCATCAAGAGCCTGCTCACGTCCAACAGTTCGCCAGATATTTTAATCTTTGGGTTCCAGGAGCTCGTGGACCTGGAAGACAAAACCGCAACAGCTAGTAGGTCCTTCTGTTCTCAATTCAAAAACCAAGCTAACAGTAAAAGAACGCTTCCTCAAGGTGAAGAAGAAGGAGGGCTCGGACCAGGAGCGCATGAGCCATCAGTATCGCGACTGGAGAGACTTCCTCCTCAAGAGCCTCGACGACTACATGCCTCCGGACTGTCTGTATCACCTGCTCCACACCGCCACGCTGGTTGGGCTGTTCACCTGCATCTTTGTCAAGTCGACGCTTAGAGATCGGATCCAGAACCTCAGCGCGGCAGAAGTTAAGCGAGGTATGGGAGGTCTTCATGGCAATAAGGGCGCAATCGTCGTGCGGTTCATGGTGGATGACTCGTCCATGTGCTTCATCAACTGTCACTTGGCAGCGGGTCAGTCGCAGGCCAATAGTCGCCACAACGATATCGCCGCCATTCTCGAGGCGCAAATACTGCCGCCCGAGCGAGACCCTAGCGCCCGCCTCGACAGCTATGTCGGCGGCGGAGACGGCACTATGATCTTGGACCACGAGCTGTGCCTGCTCAACGGCGACCTCAACTACCGCATCGACACCATGTCGCGCGACACGGTCGTCATCGCAGTGAAGCAGAACAATCTCGCCAAGCTTCTCGAGCGAGACCAGCTTCTAGTGGCCAGGCGGCGCAACCCTGCCTTTAAGCTCCGAGCGTTTGAAGAGATGCCCATTACATTTGCCCCGACGTACAAGTACGACGTCGGAACGGACAACTACGACACGAGCGAGAAGAAGCGTTCCCCCGCATGGTGCGATCGACTGCTCTACCGCGGTGGTGGCAGGATCAAGCAGGTGGACTACAAACGACACGAAGTGCGCGTCTCTGACCATCGACCTGTCACGGGCAGATTCAAGTTTACGGTCAAGAAGATCCAGCCCAAGGCGCGGGCGATGGCGTGGATGGACTGCCAGCAGAGATTCGAGGACCTCAAATGGACAGAGGTCGACAATGACAAGTGAGTGACGCTGGATTTGGGAGGGTGAATTTCGTGCTGACTAGACCTAGGATGGCATACCTGACGAATGTCATTGGCTATGACGAAGCCACGGCGCGGAGCATCATCCGTCCTGAAGCGGCCGCGTGAGCAGCTCGAGTCTTTCGACTTTGACGCCGTTAGCGTTTCCGGGAGAGAGATGTGTAACCGGACCACACGACGTACAGACGACTACTCTCGATCAAGGAGGGTTAATTAGATGACGGGATCAGCATGAAGTCGGATGAAGCACCAGGTTCATGAATGGCGGGATGGCCTTGGCAGGCATTTTTAACGTAACGAATTGGCCAGGAGGCCGGAAAAAGGGGAATCACGAAAGGAGAGGATGGATTGCATGATGCAAAACCAAAAACACACTCTTGAAGCGTCCCACGACTTTTTTTTTCATTTTGGCATTTAATGGCGCAGCTTAGACAGAGAGAGAGCAAGAGAAGCTTTTTGAGGTTTGCACCCATCACGATACGACGTAGGCA